TCTGATATAATTCAGACACTGAAATTATACATTTATTTAATACATATTGTCTTTGTCCATTTAACAGCAAATGGAATTTACTTTGGGACCCATAGGCCGCGAAATTTTTCCAGCAACACATATTGTTTTCAGATGAAATTTTGACACACCCAAAAGTGAAGTATAAAATAAATAGATACAAACAAATTTTCAATCAAACTGATTTGTGTAGTTCAGGGGCGTCTTTTGGTAAATGTTCTGGAGGCTGTTTTAATATATCCTATCTTATTATATATTTCTTAGCTTTTCTACATTCTGAGAAGTTGAGAGAATGAAGTCTAATGTTCTTTTTTTGGTCAACTACGACGTTTGATTTAATTTTTTGCAATCATTAGTTCATTTCCTTTGAGGAGTCACAATGCCCATACCGGCTATACCGATTTTTTGGAAATTTCGGACACAAATCTTCCAAGAATGGTTATAGGCTAAAACAAAACCGATATCTAAAAGGGGTGTGGAACCTCCCATAAAAATCGAATTTTTCATAGTGCATATCTCTGGAAGTATTTATGGTAGAGTTCTGGAACTTGGTATGGATATATGTATGTATATGAAGTCAATCTCAAGCTCATGGAAAAATAAGGGTTTATTGGAAAATGCAGCGTGCCACCGTAGAACTTGGAATAGAGGTAAATGAAATCAATCCCAAACCTATGAAAAATGGGGGGATATGAAAACGGTCTAGCTAGCGGTATAAGCCATATACACTAAAATTTTGGTGACGCATAGATACCTCTGGAAGCATTTACATAGAATACTGAGATGAGGCATTTTTCCAATGGAAATATATACAGAAAAACGGGCGCGACACCTTCTGGAAAGTAACACGATCACAGGGTGTATACCTAGAACCATGTTAAGGTAAACCTTGAGGGATTACATTCTTGCCAAGACCGACAGGCATAAGCTGAAATTGCGTCGCAAGTTTTACGATCGGCTTGGGTAAGGTTCAACCAATTAACCCCCTTTGTTTTCGCCGCTACTGAATTCTATAAACTGTCAGCTTTCACANACCTAGAACCATGTTAAGGTAAACCTTGAGGGATTACATTCTTGCTAAGACCGACAGGCATAAGCTGAAATTGCGTCGCAAGTTTTACGATCGGCTTGGGTAAGGTTCAACCAATTAACCCCCTTTGTTTTCGCCGCTACTGAATTCTATAAACTGTCAGCTTTCACACAATTTAAAATGTACATGTGTACATATTTAAAAATGTCATGAAAATTGTGTTGCTAGCTTCATTTTGCAAAAATGTTGCAAGCTTTTTCCCAGCGTGAACAGAATACTACATTGCTGAGGAAATGTTGTGGAATTTCACACTTATTTCACAGAAAGAAATTTTATATACAATTTAACAGCTTTTTTACATGAAATAGGAGTAAAATACTAGGCTTAAGAACAAAGATTTTTAAACCGAAAAAAAAATTAATAAGAAAATTTGAAGGATTTTAGATATTGGGTATGGTAGCACGAAATGTCACAATCTGCTTAATTGTCAGGTTGTTAATATGGCGACGAAAAAGTGACCTTGTTTTTTGTATCATGGAAAGGAGCACTAACTGCCAGGGCTTACGGCTCGCTGCTATAGTGCGATTATTTTTTCTATACAAGTTAAATCATTAGTGAATTGGTTGAAAGAAATAATACTAGTTTCTACTGCTACATTAATTAATACTACATTAAAAATGTGAGTATGAAAATACATGAATAAAATACATAAGATAAGTATGTACAAGTCTGTTAAACAGATAAAAATATATATGAGAATTCAAATCATTTTCCTGAGGTCTGTTTTGATTAAGTAATCTACTATTTTCCTGACGTTTTTCGATGAAGGCATCCTCAGCAGTTCCGAAGGAACTTTATTGTCAAATAACTCTTTCCTGGTGGAAGTAAATTGCGTGCAGTCGTCTAGGAGATGTTTAGCTGTAACTGACCGGGACGTTACACATTCAATTTTCCCCTTTCAATTTTCAATACACTCACACTTTTTCACTAACACACTTTTATTAATTACTTGAATTGGCAACTTGCTTTAAATTTTTCCCTTTCAATTGAGTTTCAATTTTGTGAAAATAAAAATATTCTAAGCTTCTGCATGCTAAAATGTTAATTTACAATGGAATTAAAAATAGAAAATGGTCTTCAGAAGCTAGTTGCTTTCATGAAGACGACATGTTGATAATGAAATTGCTTCTCAAATGGAATCAGCCTAAGTAATGGCTTCCAATTTTGATGATTTTTGACAAGCAATGTGTGTGAGGAAATTGAAAGGAAAAACTGATTGTGTGTCGTCAGCGTAATGTCGAAGAGCAGTATTGGCAAGGAGGTTGACTCACGGTTGCCACACACTTTGAAAAAATGTTACCAAAATTTTTTAAAAAGATTACCAAAAAGTTACCAAAAGTATTAAAAGCCTTTTTTCTTTTCTAATAAACAACGGGCGTTACATTAACACTTTCATGCTTATATTATAGTTGCCATGCAACTGTTTTATTCATCAGGAATCAGCGAGCTATTTTAAATAGTGGCAGAATAAAAATTGAAATTTGTGATCCAGTGAAATCATTAATTTATAGATTTTCATCCCTTTAGAATAATTCCTTGTAATTTTATTTAAAGTTAAATATATTTCAAGAGCAATTTTTATTTTTTTAAAGCAATTTTGAATAAACTTTAAATCAATAAACCAACATTTTAAATAAACTATTATGTTATACGAAAATAAATATCTTTTGAGGCAAGGATAGCTTCATTATTCCACAGGCTATTATTTTCTCGTCTGCATGTCGTTCAGACAATTTTTGGAGGAAAAATTTAAATACATAATAATCTTTTTAATTTGAAAGAGCGCAGCCTACTCCAAAACCCTAACTTCTCATCGCACATGTGTATGGAGATGTGTGCATATCGCCCATCATAAATCACAATCAAAACAACCCTACAAGACGCAACTGACGGAAACTCCAACACATATTCAAAATATTCTATACAAACTAACCCTGGGATTCAGTAATTCAGTCTCATCTCAAGTCACTAAATTTGAGATTATCAATTAGTGACTTGAGACGATTTGGGTATTCAGAAGGAGAGAGTCACAAAAAGTTCACCACAAATGTATGGTGAAAGCAAACACAGACAATCAACCGACAGTGTTCATGTATGCATTTTGCCCGCGCCGCTCAAAGAGTCGCAATGGCCGAGTGGTCAAAGCATTAGGCTGGCAGCCAAGAGGGTCCGGGTTCAAGTCCTCCTCGGCCGTAGCGGATTTTTTTTTTTTTTTTTATTTAGTATTTTTTTATTAGTTTTATTTTTTTGTAACAATCTTTAGATTTTAGTGTAAAAAAAACAAAAAAATACATTTTTTTCAATACATTTGTATGATATTAAAGCATTTTGGTTTATTTCCTAATGAAATTCTTTTTGAACAAATTTCCTCGCTTCTTTTTCGCGTTTTTTTAACAAAATTGAAATAAGTTTTTCCTCCATACTTCTATTTTTGTGGCCGGCTCTTAGCCAGCTGACAAATTAGTGACATATTTTTGAGACTAGAGACGTGAGACAGCGTACTGAATTCCAAACAGTCTCAAATTCC